AACCTTACAGCTCAAATCCAAATCTTTATAGTTTGACTGTATTTGATGCGTGACCGATCAAAAACAAGATCTATATCTATATTAACATGATAATACAATAAGCCGCCAAAAAGTCGACAATCTGACCCAGCATTAGCAACATACCCCACACACTTACACTTCGGGATTCGCTCAATGAACGTTTTAGTTTGAAACATGAACATTAACTCCCTGAATAAATTGAAACAAAACCCGTCTTAAAAGTTTGGTACGGAACACTGCTCACGTTCTTGAGAGTCGTTTAAAAGTAAGCTACTTTTCTCTTGCACGAAACCTTGACGTTCACAAGGCAAACGACTAGAAGGACTGGAAGGTTTAAAGCCAATAACTTGCATAATTCTTCAAACGTTTATGTCAAACATGCACTAGAGGGCACAGACGCCAAAGTTATCTGATAGTATTGTAATCGTAATACTTAAAGGGGCTGTGTCGCGAATTTTATCACAATTCTCACAGCAGGAACTGACACCAAATTGAGTAAAACATAAAAATAATCCCTTAAAACATTAAGAGATCGGGTATTTTAACACAGGAAATACACAAATAGACACGGATAGACAAACTTGAAGATTACAGCGGATTAAAATTGTGGGTTTTTGAAAACTTGTTAGCTTAACAGTTTCTCAAAGTTCATTTTTGTTTCTATTTGTCGTTTGTAACGTTTGATAAAATGATTGGAAAGTGCACTTGTTGGACTAAGAAATTGTGAAATTGTCGTTTACGATTTATCTCTTTGTTAACGATAAATTCCACAGGGCATAATTAAGCATAATTGGCAATATTAACAAACTGAACTAGACAGCCGTGACAAAACCAATCTTTAATTAATTAGTCTTGTCTTGTAACTTAGCCTGCGTAGCAAGCGTTTCTGTGTGGTTTAGGAGCAAAGAACGAGGAACGAGAGTCAAACTGACCGCGCGACAAATGGCGTTCATCTCTCGATCGGTCAAAACCGAAAATCCCCTTCCTCGGTCTTTCTTTGCTCCAAAACCTAACGGAAACGCTTGCTACGCAGGCTACTTGTACAAAATCTACCTTCGTTTTACAAAAGCTGCAATATACAAACTAATACGTCCTGTCACCCGCCAGGCGTAAAAAGATTAATTTTGGAAGCTATTAGTAACCTGTGGATAACTTCATTTACAACAACTTCGATTTCCCGGAGGCAGTTGTGCCTATTGTCAGCTATTTACCAGTAACCACTGAAGCCGAGAACATTTGATAGCCTTGAGCGTTACTCACTCTTCCCTATAACTAGTCTTACCCACGCTTAAAAATGCATCTTCATTTGGCTTTTAAAACTAACTTACGGAACTCGCTTGAATTGAAACAAATACCTATCAACGGTGATATTAATGCCACTTAAGCTACCTCTTTTACGACAGTGAACTGACAGTTTACAAAGCGTGTTAGATTCTCTCGTTTATGTTACAGAGCGACCAAGGCAGCATTTATATTCTTACACAGAACAAGAAGAGTGACATAAACAGGAAAAATTAAATATCCAAGTTTCTTCCTATTGCAAAAATATGCTGTGGCCCATTCTACGCTGCGTACACATATATTGAACTAAAATTTATTTAACAAGGGCTCTTGTTAAACCTACGTCATTACGTTTTTTCTAGAACCTGAAAAAAGTACACGAAGAAGTCAAAAGCGTTTACATTTGAAAATAGAAAAAAAATCAATTGATCAATTTATACAAGCGGCTTCAAATTACCTTGCGAGCAGAGGATTCTTCTGGCATGGCTTTTAATATTTACAAAGTCCATCAATTTACAACGACTGCTGTAGTAGCATACAGTGTAGGGTCTTTAATGCGCAAAGAAACAAGGCAATCACTACTGTATTTCAATAATTTCAAGTTTACTTTAAATCACACTCCCCTAATGTAAAATTTCGCTCTGTTTTTGTCAAGCTGGCACACCTGCATATAAACTTTGTTACGTTCTCGTTCCAAGAATATCAATGATTAGTAAATCATTTTTGGCTATTGAATTGGAACAAGTTGGCTTCCCTCCAGACCACAACATCATTCTAACTCCTAATATCATCACCGTCGTCATCATTTAGCCGCACGTTTGGCCTTAAATCAAATTTCAAGAGTGTTATTGACCAATGAAAACCGCGTTTTAATTACACTCCCACAAAAAGCCGAAATAATTACCCTTAAATTCACAGCCACAGTAAACGTGACAGGGACGTAACACACAGAAGTTCATGGATTAAAACGAGTGAAGCAGAAAAGGTACTTGTTTTACCCTGTTCGCTAAACAGGTCAACAGAACTGTAGAGGAGATAGAAAGAAGTATAAGTTGTCGCAGACAATAATAGAGTTTGAAATAAGACAGAAAAGTAATTTAAGGTGAGTAATGTCTCCGTGTTTCCAAGAATTCGACCTCTTAAAAAAGCAAAAAAGTGTCATCATATAAGTAAATCAAAACATCATGCCTGCTTGTTAAACGTTAAGGGTTAGAAACGTTTTTTCTTTAGTGTGTGTTTTTCTTCTTGACTCTGTTCACCATAACCAATATATAGGGTGAACTTAAAACGGTTTAACACGCTGGGTCCAGCGTTTGTCGTGTTGGTGAAAAGGACAACCTTAAAAAAAACAAAACGTGTGCGCCAAGCAACGAAGAAAAACCAAAAAAGGCAAGCACAAAATATTACCGCTTTTAAACACACTAGGAAACAAACAGATACAAATAGCTTCATGGAATAAGCACTATTGTAGCTAAACGGATTTTAAAAATGTCTGTGCCTTTACATTAAGCGTGAGATTTATCCAACGATAACTTGGTTGGGATCACCGTGTAAATGTTCAGATCATACGAGTTTCGTTTCGTTTGGTCGTTTATTCGTATTTGGACTTTTTCAAAACTGAGCGCAGACGAACGGCGTGATTTTTAGTCCAAGCGCCGTCTGTGATCGGTGATACTTCAAAAAACTGTTTTGGTACGTTGTTTCTTAAATTGAGTTTCACATGTTCCACCACAACCGAGTTGTGCCTTCTAATCGTAAATATTGACCTTGCATTGCCGTAAGTGATCTCAAACCGAATGTCTGTCACCCTTTATTTTGTGGTCATTTGAACTGCATTTTATAACTTGTTTTACTGTTACAGTAGTACCAATACACTGTACACAAGTTTTCGTTGCAAGGTGCTGCAGCGAACGCCCACATTCACTGGCAATGAATGACATGCCAAACAGTCTTGGAGATAGAAACACGAGCGGTAAAAGAAAAAGGCTCACAGCTTTATTGACCTATTTATACATGCCAATAGGGATGTATCTAGTTCTTGGCTGATAAACAAAGCTAATAAGCATAACAATTAGGAGATATGTATCAGATTAAATATCTCTTGTTCAATCTTAACAATATAGAATCCTTCAATGCAATCAGTAACATATTTGAAAAAGCCAATTTCCTTAAATGGACACGACTCAGACAAGCACCAACATCTATTCTGAAACCAATAGAGTACAGTACCTTTACAGTCAATACTTATTTCACAAAGGGAGATTTTTGACATGGCGGAAAAGAAAACAAACGACTGCCTCGCGTTAATAATCTCTGAAAAAGCTTTACTATCTAGCAATGCAAAGAAATTAAAACACGATTAAAGACTTAAAAGACTTAAAAATTGCTTTCAACCTTTTCCACCTCACAGCACAAGTGCCATCATCATGCCAATTGTTCAATTATCTGATATCAATCCCTTTATATTTCCGCTCTCCGTGGGAGGCAAGGTCTAATCAATGTTCATACTCGACCAAAATTACTAAATTTTGTCAGAGTTATCCCGTCCGCTCTTTGTCTCCGGAACTTCAATCAAATGCATGACTAAAGAATTGCCAAGTGCTACTCGCTGGTCGTGTCCTATCAGTTCCGCAATAATTTACGATTGAGTCTTGTTTAAAACAATTTTAAGGTATTTTTTCCCTTTGGTTTTGTTTTTTGCTTTTTTTGCAGATGGCCACATCGAAAGATTTTTACGATACGGTATGTGATACCAGGATACAGACGATGTGTTATAAAAGTGGTAAAGTTACGCTAGGGTACAGAACTTCCATGAGAGGCTGTTGAACATTGTCATCATCATCATCATCATCATCATCATCATCATCATTATTATTATTATTATTATTATTATTATTATTGACATTTTTATTATTGTTATATCTATTTATTTATTTTTTGTTCTAAAGGAAGGCGACGAGTCAGGATATTCTGATGGCGATGACAAGAACCATAGGTAAGAAAGACAAATACATAGTTATGCGGCTAATCCTTCAAAAACCTAACGACTCCTTCTGGACGACGAAGGTCAGAACTTCTGCCCTTTTTGGTGTGCATTTTCGTGTTTCCGACAGCTACGTTGAACTAAACCGCTTTTTAATCTCCTGGGACTTCTACAGCAGCTTTATGGTGTTTAAAGCGTCCACAATTTCCACTCTTTCCGCTAATAACGTTCATTTAACGAAAAACATTTTCGCCAGGACAAGAAAGCACATTTCGCCATCTTATTCAACTGGGTTCGTATTCTTTTGAGCTCTTCACATTCAATGACTTCCCATGTCTTTTCATTAGCTTTCACATGACCTTAGATTTAGCTCTCACTTTCTTAAATTTTCCAATACTTCATTGTTTTAGGGTATTTTTTGACGTAACTTAGTTCAAAAGATACAAACTCTGGTGTCCACCAATAATAACTCTCCTCTATCTTTCATTGTTCTTGCTTTGACATGTGCAATAACTAACCTACAAAACATAGGTTTCCTTGACCGACAATTGAATTCCATAATTTTCCAGGTTTTTCATGACCCGTATGAACTGTGTTCAGTTTCACAATCCCAGTGAGGCAAAAACGACAATATCCCTAATTTACACTATTGTGAAAGTGGTCTATTCTTACGACTATTTACTATACAATTTGATAAAATTTAATTACCCGTATTATGACGTCATTTAGTAGCGTCACTCAACCCGCGGACGAAGATCTTGCAAGCCAGGAGCAGTCAAGTACAGCATACTCCCTCGAAACGGAGTCACATCGTCAACAGGTAGGCGGCTGGTTTCTGTCTTCCACTTGTAATTATGATGGATCCCCAAATAACTGCATAAACAAAAATACATAAGCACTTGTTGGGAGAGGCCGATTATGATATGAATAATTATGCAGGGAGATAGAGGAGGGACTTATCTGCCAAAACGAATTACACCATCCTAGTTCTGCATAATTCTTCGTAACATACGAAAGCCTAATCTAATCATTGTTTTAATATTTATTCAAAATATTTCCAACTTTAACCTCCATCAGTGTAAAGTTCCCTTCTTCATAACCTGCCTAATCGTCGAGTGTTCCTCGGCAGTTTCATGTTATGAACTCGAGATATTTATTCTAGCAAACAGTCTTCAAGTAGCACTTGCCATCTATTGCGTGGTATTTTCGCTATTCTTGCTATGTGTTCAGGCAGTAGTTCGGTTATTTCTTCTTTGTATATTGTGTGAATTCTTCCGCCATTTTCTCCAGCTCTGCCAAAACAGCCGTGCCTTTTGCAGTTCTTTTTTCTGACTATACATCAGTACAATTGACGTCAGCATACATACACTGTTTACAGGAAACCATTACGACACCTGAAGGAGGACAATGAGGTTATCCCTATATTAAGATTTCTCCTTACATATAACCCACCCACCCCAGGAAAGGTTAGCCACACCACTGGTCTACGTCCCCTGCTCTTTTCCAACAGTGGTGTGGGTTCTGGCGTTCTCATGTCACACAAGAACCAGCTAAGCCAATAGAGCCCTTCATAGATAGGACCATCCAGGGGAAAAATCTAGGGTACATAAGAGCCATTTTCAAGTAATATATCAAGCATGAGACGTAGTGTTTCATCACCAGATGAAACACTGAGAAGAGAGTTGAAAATATGACGCGCAGCGGGGTATTTTTGACGAACTTTGAGGTGTTTCATCTGGTGATGAAACAACGTGTTGAATGCTTGATATTACTTGATATTACTCAAACAATTGATTTTAGAAGGAGAAATTATGGCTGCAAAAATGAGCAGTTTTTCATCTGATTTCCAAACACTCATTAAACATTCATTTCTTCTGTATTTTCTTCATGAATTATTAATGAGTTTGAAAAAGTTCATTCCTATTACAGTCGACCAGCAAAACATATCGAGTCAATCCTTAGAAAACTGCTTTTACCTTTAGCGTTGCTTGACAAATCCCTAGTAGTTCTTTTTTCCTTCAATTTCGACCCAGATTACTGCCTAGAAACATCATTCAACACTCCTTTCTTTTCTCAAACATATTGCAACTTATGTCACACACAGGTAGATTTTTCTCCTGTATATATAGGACAAAGACGATGAGGGAAGCCAAGCAGTGACTGAAGCCGAAGGCGAACAGACTTCGGACCATGAACTTGATCGACGCACTTGGTAAGAAGAGTAAAAACCGTGACTAAAATATAAACGACTGTAAAACAAACTATAGTTGGTCTCTGCTGGTTCCCCAGCGTGTTTTAAAGGCGGACTCGAATGTTAGACGTTCCCCAAGCATGAGCAAAATAGAACAATAATATATTTGGGGCTAATTTCGCGCGAACAACTTAAGTGTTCTAAATCGTCTAAAGAAATAACGTACGGTTTTACACAGGAAAGAGTAATTGCTTCTTTGTACGATATTTCACCTGTCCTCACTAATTTTTTTTTATATTACTCTTAGTTTCGTACCGAATTTAGAGGTGTATTCGGAAAGAGCCCGTGGCTGCCAGCCACAGGTAAGTACTTTACTGCCCAGGTTCTTGTGCTACCCTTGGGGTTTCATTTACGCTAGCTTTATATTGTAAAATGTAGGCACTGTGCAGGATCATGCGATCTCCAGGTCACAACTAAGAAAATTAACTCAACTTCGTAGAAGTTTTCTACTGATAACAGTATTGGATGTACCTGTCAAATTATAAATCGCTCAATCATACATGCTTTGGCATGAAACATGCACCCCAAAAACCCTTTCTTACCCGCCTTAATATGCTCAAAGCTAAAACAAAATATCAATGTAATTTTTTTACAGACACATACTCATTAACGCAGACACATTTCCACCAATAATTTAGGAGGGTAAAAACTACGCTAAACTTACCATGCTCTAATCGATAAATAAACTAAATTTTTCAAAAGCCATATAATGTATGACACATCCTGAGTACGTTTTCCCCGATTCTTGCTAACTTAGCAGTCCCTTTTTTCACCTTAAACATGCGACGCCAAATACACTGGACACTTTAAAAGACAGGCCCTAGTAGTTCAAAAGATGGATAACGCCGAGCGACTGGATTTGTGTTTCTCCAGTGGATAACGCAATCATATCAGATCCAACAAGCGCAAGTGGAATAATTGTTTTATGAAAAACACCCACAAAATATCGAGAATTCTTTCCGAATTTATTTGTAAACACAACCGATTTTCAGGTTGTTTTAAATTTTGAGCAGAAGCGTACAGTTACCATATTTGGAGAGCATGGTATAATGGCTCATATACCATGATGGCTAAGCCAATCCTAGCTCTAGAATTGCATTATCCAATGATTCAGTTTTTAATAATAACAATTATCCGCTGCATGGCGATTTATCCGGGTTGATAGCGCTATCCAATGTTTGAATAACCGGGTCAAATATTATTGTTTAGACACAACGCAAATATGATCTTTGCTTTTGCATCATTCCCTAATAACGTACGTCTTTAAGGACGAGGGTTAGCTTTGTGCAACCTACAAAACCCTGATGTTTAAGACTGCCCCGGTAGCTAAGGAGTGGGAGAAGTATACATGCAGAGAGGTACCAAAGCGTTATCAAACAAACACTAATTTACTGAAACATGGGTGTTTAGTAGCCTGCGCAACAAACGAAACTAACTCTCTGGCTACTAGTAGCCGGGGCTAGATTACGTCTGCAAGGCAGGCTGGTGTTTGACTGTATTAATACTGTATTTTAGAAAAAAGTTCAAGAGACGGCTTTAGGTTTTAACTTAATTGTTATCATATCTTCTACAGGAAAACGAGGAACCGCCTAACCCTGTGGCTGTGTTTATTTTTGCACTGTTTCTACTTTTATTAAATACTCTATTGTGAAAATAAATTTGTATAATTGTTTGCTTGGCTTTGTTTTTTATATTGATGGTGTAACATAACCCTTTTTGGCTGCACATAATATTTTATATAGTCGACAGTAACATCCACTTTTCGAACTGAAGAGGGGTCCGAAAAACGCCAACTAAAATACGAGATAGGCTTCATAAAAAGCGCATTATCATCATGTCACGTACCTTAACCCTTTAAGCCCCAAGATCAATAGGCAAATTCTCCACGCTGATCTCCATACATTTCCTTTAAGAATTAGTTGAGAGAATTTAATAAAAGATCAAGGCATTTTCTCTTTGGTGATCATTTTATATATTCTCACAACCGTATCTCTTGACAATGTATGGATATTGTTAGGAGAAAATTGTTGTTGGTCACTATTGCTTAAGTTATTTCTTAGTGCCTTTACTGACACAAAATGCTCCAGTAGAGTTATGAAGAAGATATCAAAAAAATTTCATCAGGGAGCACTAACCATCACATATTTCGGTGATTTTTGCCGGCATAGCCGGAAAACGTGAAAAATTGGCCCAATTTTTTCAAGTTTCAATTGATCCATGTCCTTTCTCGCCATCCGAAGCAAAAGACGACAGGAAACAGTTTTAATACTTAAACCGTAGTCTTAACCAACAAAATTGGACTTCAACTGATGCGAAGTCAAAGAGGGCAAATCGCTTGACATAGCCCATTTAAGTAGTAATCCCAACTCCTAGTTTCTTGACGTCGGAATCATGTTCAACATTTCCTCACCAGGATCTCCGGTTAAAAATCGGGGAACATCGAAACAAAGGACTACTCGATGTAATTGGCACCCGACGTGTGACGTAACATAACTGTTCGACAACTGACTACCTTTCTGACACCCTTTAGTACGGATTTGCGGTACTCTTCTTTACAATTTGAACGTTTTGAAGAAGCTTTAGAAGCTTAACTGTGTTGACATAGACTACTACTGCAAAACAATGGCCTAATACGTACTTAGACGGTGACTTTTGGCGATGATTAGTGTCCCTAAAACTGACGCGCCTGGAGTCTCATAAATCGCAGTCTCGGCTGAACCTGACTCTCTCTGAAAAAGTTAAAGTTATTGACGAAATTACACGCTTCGACTGAATATTTAGGCATTTTGCACCTATACCAGACACTTCTACACATTAGTAACTTACACCTGTAGCTTTGCTTTGACAACTTCCGTCACGCGCGTAAAACATGTTACACTTTAGGAAAAAATAGAGAGAAACCACAATGACTTTGGTGAACACCGTGCAACTCTTCCATGAAATCTGTCGTTTGTTCTAAACTAAACCTTATATTCAAACCAAGCGCAGGCCTGTATCAACCAGTTATACTAAAAGTCACGATTCACATTTTCTGCGTTTATGTCTTCTGTTTGAAGCCTTCGCCTTTGACTAGTCAAAACTGATAAAATCACTGAAAATAACGCATCAAGCGTTGAAAGGAGTACAAGGAAAAATTTGAAAAGAATAAAATGTTTGCACGTACTACCTGATTTGGAGTATGTACGTAATAACAATTTCATTTCGATTCGCACCTGTAAGCAGAAAGTACCAGAGAATAAATATTCCAGTTGATGCAATTCATGCCAAAAATAGGCGATCACTGAGACAAGCGATACTGGGATATCGCCCTATCGGCAAAATCCACCAGTGGGCAGAACCGTGGACCAATATTTGCTTGCACTTGGCAAACTTTCTTGACCTCTCAATTGTGTTGAGAACCGTGCTTAAAAAGGCAAAAATGACCCCGGAAATTAATATGAAAGATTAAGATTACATACCAGAAAGAGAAAGGGTTAAGTCACGACTGCACTGTAATTTCGCCGAAGGGGTGTTATACACTCAAGAGGAAATGATGAGAATAAAACTGTAATAAGCCGACCTTCAGTTAATTGACGATGGGTAGAAAAAATAAAAATATATATGTGATTTTGATTTTTACTGATTAGTTTGCGGCAGTGATTCTTTTTCTACATAACTGCATGGATAAAGCCGATAAGAATTTCCACACCACGATTCACCGAACAATTTTAAACCTTTCTTTGTTTGTTCGTTTTTGTTTTTCATGTGAAGGCTAGGATGTCTGGAAGCGCATAAAACAAATATAATTGTCCTAACATTACACTGTTGGTAAGGAAGAGACTGAGACTGACACAGATGCTTAATCAAAACAAATAACTGAAATCCCAACGTGACAGAACCATCACAACCTAACGTTTGACCAAATATGGAAGTTATTTAATACCATAAAAACTGAAAAAACTAATCACATGAGAACATTTCGATTCAACCGATTTAACAGAGTTCACTATTTTACATTCTTTGATACTTTAGAAGAACAGACGAGTTTCCATGGGTTATCCCATAGAAAAATCTTACACCTTTCTTTTTACGTAAGCTTACACAGCTTTTGACACAAGAAGTGTGGGACTACCGACCACTCTAGTTGCGAACTTCCTCATCGCTTCACAACGCAAAACATGACAACCATTTGTCTGATCGACACAACAGGAGACTTGGACTGTTAAGGAGCGTCAGGGAAGTCATTGCCTATACGAGAGCAGTTTATGGAAAGTGTAATTGAAAGGTAAAGGAAATTTTAATGGATATTCAGGAATCAAAACTTAGATACCACTTTCTGCTATTGACAAACACATGATTACTATGCGCTAGATCATTGCCAGTCCTTTCTGTTGAGAATCTCGCTAACTGAGAGAAATATTGTTTTGACTTCATACTTAACATAGTGATATAATTCTGTAGTGAGCCACAAGATGCATGTATGGATTTTAACTTTTGTAAACTGCAGAGAATATTCTTTCTTTCAGATACGTCAAGATCGATTTCACGAGTGAACGCCCACCAATACTTGACCTAAAAGAACGAAATTGTTTTCGAAAATCAACCACAACCAGGGTAAGATGTTTCTTGCGGTCATCGAACCACTCGTAAACAACTCAAAACAACAAAGATTAACATTTAACGGATACACGTACTCTTCAACTCCGGTTCAATACAACATGGGACGTCATGGTTTAACCTGCTGCTTCTTGCAGGGATGGACAACGTCAGTCGCGTCACGCAAGCCTCTTCCCGTAAGCAGCTTAGTATCTTTAATTGTAAACACGTTGTTCAAAACGAAGAGGCAAACTCGAACTGAACAAAAATGAAAAATAAATACACTGATGATAGTGCGCATGCGTGCCAGGCTACGTAGCTCATGGAACAGAAACACTGAAGGCGCAAGACACTCGAAAGAATTGAGCATCTAAAGTTTTTGGAGCGTTCCCTCTTGGAAATCAAGGAGGTTGTCTTCAAGGAAAGGTAAGTTCTGCCATTAAAAGACGCTACGTCGAAAATGTTAGTATTTACGACCCCATATCTTGCAAACTGAAATGACAGTTTTTCATGCTCATTAGTCTACATAAAAAGTAAACTAACCTGTCGTAATTTACCAAAAACTAATCTGTCATTTTATATCTGAACCGAACAGTTTAAATGATAGAGTAGCAGAGTAGCCCTAAGTATTTAGTTGACAACGCAAAACTATTGTCAATGACCGCTTTTTAACCACATGAGTAACGTTAAAATGTTATTGACCGCACCGCAGTGTTTTTTTCCTCGACGTAACGCCAACGAAATAGATACCGTTCCCTAATATTTTCATGCAATCAGACATTGTTCAGTCCACCGTTCAAGACGTCCAAAGTAAAATAATTTGTACCTTGAGTGTCTACAGCACTTGAAGTTCGATGTCAATTTCGACAAACTCAAACCTTTAATTTGCAGGTTGAACTCGCTTAATTCCATCGCTGAAATAAACAATCTCTTATCTGAAATCTCGGTGGCACTCGAATCTTTTCAAAGAGGAATATTTCTTTTTACTAACTTCAGTAGGTTCATCAAACAGAAGTATTTAGAAAGTATTGCTTAAGTAATAATCTTGATTTTCGACGTTTAAACAGATCACTATATAGACCAAATATTTAACCTTACTCTTTGAGGCATAGAAAAAAACAATGACTAAAGCACGAGTATGTTTAGGGACTTATCAAGAAAAAAAACAGAATTACATTTAATATGGGTTTAGCTGGCACCAGTAGTACATAAACTGAACGGTATTTCAAAAACAATTTTGGACTTTCAATACTAAAATCGTAAGTTAAAATACTTCCGGAGATAAAATTTCCACGTGTACACCAACCAACTATCGTGTCTTTTAAATTGCCATCAAACTTGTGTATTAAAATAAACAATCCAATACCATCAAAAATCATCCGGCTTTTACAACGAACAATACGTAAACCAGATATCACTCATAACTGGAAAAGCGGTGCTAATGTTGTTTCAGTTAGTGGAGGGCAGGGCACCGGAAATTTATTAGCAAGGGATGCAGCCGTGTTTTTGTATCGAATAGCTAATCAAAAGGTCATAAAGACTTCTTCCGGATTTTGAAACCACAAATCCACGAATGTTTCATCTTTTAAGTACTTATCACATTTCTCCAATCAAGCCCCAATAAACAAAATATTAAACACGCAAGTGACCTCTCAAATTCCAAGTTAATACATACAATTCAGGCATAAAACTAACCACTGATACTCTAAAGGAACTTACTTTTACCATGACTGAAATAATTAACCCTGTCGCTCTTTTATTGTCAACCCATGACTGAGTCACAGTTGTCCCATTGGGCGCCCTTATATTTACAAGTATTCCGTCACTAACTTAATTATGACTGGTTAAAGGGGAACTGCCAATTCCAGCCGGTACCAGTTTCGTTGCGTCACTCTTACAGACAATGGTTTTTAGGCATGCATCAGTGATGTCATTTTAGCAGACAAAAGTTTTGTAAATGCAAAAAGTGCCGTCATAGCTTTCGTCAAGAGAACATGTGTTTTCGCACGACACCACTTAGCGAGCTGTAAACACTTAGAGCAGCAATTTTAGAACTTTGAAGATTCAAAAAGTATTTTACAAAACCTCAGGGCTTTCTCTTTTACGCTTCACAGATAAATGTCTAAGAATGGTCTGGAAATAAGTGTCAAGTGTCAAGTGTCAGGGGAGCAGGGATGGCGGAGTGGTGAGAGCACTCGCCTTCCACCAATGTGGCCCGGGTTCGATTCCCGGACTCGACGTCATATGTGGGTTGAGTTTGTTGTTGGTTCTCTTCTCTGCTCCGAGAGGTTTTTCTCCGGGTACTCCGGTTTTCCCCTCTCCGCAAAAACCAACATTTCTAAATTCCAATTCGATCCGGAATGCTCGAGCGTTTAATACATGAGCCCCGGGCTCGGGAGATTGGGCAGCCACTCCTCACGCTATCGAGCTTAAATAAAATTAATTTAATTTAATTTTTAATTTAATTTTAATTTTTCATTAAGGACATGCTTTAGAACGTTATGACATTCAGTTGATATTCATTGTTTGCTTCTTGTGTGCGTTATGGTTAACATATGTGTGTACAGAATAAGACTATTATTGGATTCGGTTTCCGCCTGATAGCGAGAATTATAAAGGTTTCGTCTTGTGTCATTCCCCTCAACCTTCGGCTTCATTAGATAATACAATCTCGGTCTCGATAACTCACACTATCATGCTCAACCTTATCCAATGATTGTAGCATTTGTTTTTTTTTTTTCAGTTCAGATGGCTTCAGCTCGAAAAGAGGTAAAAACCTTCAACTTGATTATTTTATAGCCTTTTTTCGCCTGTGACTGAAGGGGAGGGAGTCACTAATTGCTACTGTCCAAGGCCCTATGTCATGTAAGAACTTGCATTACGTTTTCAAAGTACTCTTTACATTATAACAAATGGTCTGTATCAATTAGAGAAACTAATATCTGGTTTCAAAAGCTTTCCATGACTTGGAACTCCAACATTTTTTCTGTTAATGACACATTTTTTTACACGTACATTCAGGATTCCCCTCGCAATAAACATTCATCAGCTCACATTCCTCCAACGCATAAAAAATTACACGCGTTTGTCAGGAGTGGCAAGAACAAGAATTAGAAACCTTGCATTAAATCTAACTCGAAATGTTATTATCAACTAAGAGCATCTTGTTGTTATTGTTATTAACACTATGAGAATGGTCGAACAATTTTACCCAAATTCGAATGGTACCGTGTATTTTACAACATAAATTGTTGTAAATATCTCCTCTATATCATCATTGTAATATTTTTGTTTTATTTTTTTTTTCAGTATTTTCTAAGGCCTGGATACACCCTGAGTGGGAAGAAAATAGAGCAGTGTACTCAGCCAAGCGGTATTCACTGGCCAATTGTGTAAGTAACAAAATGAATAACTGTAAATAAAACAAAACAAAACAAAAAGAGCTTTGATAACAGAGAGCGGATAATCAGCCCTTTTCAGCGGTGATTAAAGGAAAGTGTGTGCTCTCTTGTCAAAAACAACGGAAAAAAATAATTCAACAACTCCTACTTGAAAATCGTTTTATAGCTTCTTTAAGCACAGTTGAAAGTAAAGCTACGAACGAAGACCACCTAATTCAGCTATTTTCAAGCTCTTTTGTAGCATTTACTTTCCCCACCTGATTCACTTTGGAAGAAAAAATTCAGAATTAAGGAGTTACTGAGTCTTTTTACTAAGTAAATTAATTCTAGTATTTTTATCGCCTTTTACAGAGTTCCAGCATCACGGCTTATTGTACCAGGAATTCTTCAGGTTAGTTTCTATATGAACGTGAGAGACTGTCGAAAAGATAATGCTTTTTGAAAGAAAATGAGACTTGGTAGACCTGGGGCGCTTTCCATTTACACAAAATTTCCGGTTAGACCGGTTTAATTGCAAATTGAACGCGCAGTTCGATCGGAAATTTGTTCGGAATAAACGGGCGACCTTCCGAGGTATTCCACTTTTTCCGTTCCAACCGGTTGCGCAATTCTGGTTCGGCCGGCGGCTGGCGCCAGAAATTTTTCCCGCCATTTCCAATGTTTGCTGGTGAGAGTTGTTCACGGGCAGTCGCAGTTTTTCTTTTCATTTCTTATCGTATCGTTCAAAATGGCATCTGCATCTGTAGACTCAAAGTAGTTTTGAACTCTGTTTATATCTCTGCTAACAAAAAAGCAACAAACTGCTGCAATGGCCACAAAGTCAAAATTATTTAGCTTTTGGACAAAGTTTCACTTTCTTCGTCGAAATTGTCGCGAAGTACCAGGCAGTGCTACAACGTCCATTTTGTTGGATTTTTGGTTCACAAGAGCAAAGAGAGCCTTTCCATTTGACCCGGGATGTTTCCGGAATTTCCAACAGGAAATTTTGCCTAAATGGAAAGCGCCCAAGGTATTAGAAGAATGGTTTGATAAATTCTATGCATAAAACTTTTCAAAGTCAAATAAAAATCTGCAACGAAACTTTAAAAGGTTTTAACTGATTGAAAAAGGGATCTAAGATGAGAAAATTGCCTCAGAGCCCAAGCTGAGTATGGGACGCATACCAAGACAGGTCTGTTGATAGGTAGCAGGAGATTAGTAACCCCTTCATCCCTAGAGTCAATTATAGAGGCATGTAAGGTGGGTTCTAACTTACAGGGTTTTCATTATTTTTAAAATAGAAGGGCCTCTAGGGTCCGATACGTAGAGGGAAAAGTTAGAATTTTAGGTCGAGAGTCGGTTATTTCGCCTAGAAACGGGTAATATGCTTAGAGTACACTGCTGCCGGTAATTGCCGGTAAATTCCCTGAGACTTACCTGTCTGTGGACGACAACCTTTTAAAAGTGCTTAAACACCCTACAAGTAATCTTCCTGGCCTCTAAAAAAGGAATTTGCTGTTTATCTCGATTTGGAACAACTTATGGACGTTTCCTTTTAAACTAAAAAGGGCCATAAGTATTACATACCCAAACCCTCTTCGTAGTAGTGATTTTCCATTTTTTTATTATTATTTTCATTACTTTTAAGTTTCAGTATCGCTTTTCCGACAAAGGACTTCCAGTCCAGCAATGCACGGAACCAAATTGAAACATTTTCCTTTCGGTAAGTACAGAAGGAAAGCCAAACTTTTTATGCTCACAGTTATCCATAACGTAAATAAAGAAACCCATCCTTTGCCTAACTTAATAAGGAACGGATTTTTCAAATATTTAGAAATTAACCTAAACACCACACAAAAGAGCATGAATTTAAAAGTATTACTTGTTTGGTGTATCAAGTTGCATTAAAATAACCAAATGTTCTTAAACCTCTCTATCGTGTGTCAATTAAAAGTTAACAACTGCATCGCAATGTATAGAAGAACGGTGCATGGGATGTTTGTGGGCCCTTCACTGTGACCAGCCGGCCCCTAGACAGTGAACCGCTCCCGTGGTTGGCAATCATGAGCCCCTACACCACACCGAGTCGTCCAGGCACCCGTCACAATGTGTTTACAATGGAAAATATGGGAATGGGAAGGGAGGGGTATAAATGTAAACGAAAAACGCACTCCACAGAAAAAGGCCGCCAACCTTCAACACACTGAACTGAATGAGCTTTGAGGCTACCACCGAGAGTGCTCAGAGCATGTGCCGAAATCTGCTGCCGCTGACCACAATGGGCATATCGGCTGCGCAAATTTCCCTTTAGTAAACGGTTGCTGCCATTTCTAGAACACTAAAATATTTTTAACCTGTTTATTGAGAGTGTTTCTATTAAAACGAAAGAAGATCGCAACCCAGGGTCGAACCCGGACCTTTCGTATCCCATTGTTCTCTCTCCCTTACCACTACACTACCACACCTACCAGCCAAAATTCCGAAAACGTTATTTACATAAACTAGCAAACTGTCTTTCTTAACAGATGCATCAATAACAGGTGACCCTAGCCCTTTCCAAAACTTTTCACGTAAATTCAACTTGGACCTCCACGTCGTTCTTTCTAAGACTATTGAAAAACGTATTATTTGCCTTATTGTAACTTAATCCAGGGAATATATTACATCTATCACGACTTAAGGCTTGGTTACCAATGGTGGCATCGACCGTTAAAAATGGCAACGACCGTTTACGAAAGGGAAACAGGCATCGGATACTCTTTATTGTCAACTAAGTGGAATTGCATTTAACGGCATTAAACAGGCGCACGAGGTATGGCAGTTCCGATTCAAAAGTTAATGTTGTAAACCTTTAGTAAGAATGCTTTTTTTTTCTGTTTTCAACAGATGGAAGCGAGACGAAACAAAGACGAAACGTTGGCTTAATTTCTAATCTTATCGCTCTCCTAGAAACTCTTTAAAATTCAAAAATCCAGGTATAACGAGCAAGTACTAATTCTAACTTTTAATTGATAAAAACGATGTGGAAAAAAAAACCAGTTGAAATATTTATCGAAGGAAAAAAATAATAATAATCCACAAAGACAGTTGAGTTATTTATTTGAGTTGAGCGCGGGAGCACTGTAATATATTTACTCCTCCTTAAGTTGTTGTTTGTTTGATATGAAAGAATAAAGAACTGACAGGCCAATTTGAATTTGTTTCTTGTGTTTTTCACACCCTGCAAGAAACGTTTGAGCCTCTTTACTCACGTTACCGTCAGCCATGTTAATTTCTTGGAGCAAAAGGATGTGTCCCCAAAAGAAAAGAGTTCAACTCCTAAAAGGATGGCTTGTAACACCCTGCTCTATAAACTACGGTTTCGCAAGCTAATATATTACGTCGCAATAAGTACCGTTTTGTCCATGACGGAGATAGGTGTGTTAAAGCATGGATTCCATATAATCGTTGAGGTCGTCTCAATCGCTCGACTCCTCTCAAAATGTGTTCAGAGGATCCAGACAATCTTATAGGAACACCTTTAATGCGACGCAAGGCGATCCAGACGACTGCGGCGATCGCAGTAGCCTAGATAGAGCTGAATGTCCCGATATATGCTGACTCTGTAGGCTGGTTACCATATAATCGTCTAGATCGTCTTGATCGACCGAGTCCCCTGAAAATGTGTTCAGGCAATGGACACGATCATCTGGAATTAACTGCCTTGATAACTGATGCAACGCTACTGGGTCGATTACAATCACCTGGATAGAACCTGTATATAGGCTATTTTCCATATTATCGTCCGGATAATCTCGATCGTCCCAATCGCAGAGTGCAAAGAAAGTAGTGTCCAATAGCCCGGGGCTAGTGGATTTTGCCATCGGGCTAGAGAATTCTGTTATTAACTTCCTCCCACGGACGAGGAATTCAAATTACAGAAGTACTGTGAAATCAATCTGCTCATCAAAACGTTTTTGGGGCCAGCTGAAAAGATGTTTGGGCTCGTTTGGGCTAGTAAATGTTAGCTTCAGCTTGCTCGAATGGCAAGCTGTAAAAATGACTTTCTTTGCACCCTGTAATCGTCCCAAAAATTAAAGGAGATTGAGACTATCCGACGATTACATGGAAACCAAGCGTGGGTAGAATCTCCCTCCCCCCTCCCCTGGACGTTTCCGCTTTGCCCCATGGTGTCTTACACACACGAGCACTTCGTTTGCACATATAACAGCCAATGCAGAAAGGCAATTCGGTATTTGATTTAAGTTCACAATCTCACTGGAAGAAAGAACCGGAAGACATGCTGATATGCTAGTTGGTGCGATGTCAAAAATAAAAGATCACGATCGATGAACTTTCAAGAGACTTGAGATGCTACGGATATCGGCCCAAGAAGGACCCAGAGTCAGTATTTTGCTTCCATTTGGATATCTTTCTTCTTGATCACTCATTTATGCAGTGGAAGGTATTTATAATGATGTAAATGTAAAAGGATGCATCAAATAAATATGAAGGATCAGGATAACAATGCTAGAAACAGCTTTAAAACAAACGATTCTTCCGCAATTCTGAATTTTTACAAGCTTAGATTAGAATGAAACGTAACGATTAAATGAAACAGAAATGGGCCCATCTTAATACATAATAGCAATAAAACCGACGGAAAATAATAGTGTTGCGTTGCAAAGCTTGACTTTTAACTTTCAGTTTCCATTCGTTTATTTCATAGGCATAGATCAAAATTAAATCCAACCAAACTCTCACTGAACTCTTATGATTCACTCACGACCCTTAATGTTTATCGGCCGCGCAGATATAATTTGCAAACTTTACAGCCTATGCTACGCTTTAAAATTAATGGCTGTATAAACGTCGAGTATAAGACGGATCAAAAAATCTATGAATAATTAATTAAAAATTATAATTATTATTATGTAAAGACTTGGAAGTCTGTAAGTGCACGTATCTGCTTTAAGAGTCCCACTGTTTTCTATTAACTTCACTGTTTAGCAAACCTTATTGTTTCAACTAACATTACGAAGTCTGAGGTCTAAAACAGATGCCAGCACAGCCAGATAATCAAACAAACAACTGCAAGCACGACTCACGACGCATGAAGTTGGCCAAATATGGAAGTTACCTAATATCATATTAACGCATTATCTAGTCACATGAGAACATTTCAACCATTCAACCGCGTTATAACAGAGGTCAGAAATTTCAAGTTCCTTTACAGACTTTGAGTATAGAAGTATCAGCTATCCCATGGAAGCAATTTACGCCTTGCTTTTTCACCCAACGTTCATACTGCTTTGTCAAATGAAATGTGAGGGATTGACCACCTTATTTCTCTATTTCAACTTCCACATTACTTAGCTACGGAAAACAAGACAAGTTAGAAACAACAATACGGTCTGATCGACACAGCGGGAGATTTACATGTCGACCAAAGCAAGAGAAATCAACGCCAATCGGATCGTAGAATACTTAGCAGAAACAAGTGAAATGGATTCAAAGGTAAGGATAAGGTAGAGATACTGAAAAATCCTGAAGAACTTTGATCAGACTTCCTTCTGCTGACATTAGATTATTATGCTGTAAATCAATGCGAGTTCTTGCCCCATTGAGAAGCTCGCTTACTGAAAGAATAACTGTTTTGTTTGACCACAAAGTAAATATCCGTTCTAGTATAAGTTGAAAGAAGTGTGGCCATAAGACTAGGATTCTTTTAGAAATTGAATTTCCTATAGAATAACAAAAAGAAAATATTCTTCCTTTCACTTCAGATACGTAGATGTCACGAGTGACCGCCCAACCCTGAAAGCAGAAAACAGTCTTCGGAAATCGACCGCAACTGTGATTAGAGGTTTCTTGCGGTCATCGCACCACAAAAACACCACACAAAACAAGACAGAACGACACAAAACAGATAAATTTACTTCAGCTTCAGCTCAATACAACATGGAACGTCACGGTTTAGAGGACTTGAGAACGTCAATCGCGTCACGCACTATAAAACAGCCAAAAAGCGTCTCGCAAGCAGGCTAGCGTTTGTAATTGTGCAAAAGTTGCTCGGAACGAAGGGACAAACATCAAGCTGGTTTTCTCAAACGTATGAAAAATACACTAATAAGAGAGCTTATGCGTTGCAATTTTACCGCTGAAAGCATGCGGACACAGCACCTCGATCACAGGAAGACAGAACCATACACCGTATTCATAAATGGCGGCCGCTCGGAACGGCCTGGTTTCGAATTCACGAGAACGAGGCTTTAACAGAGGAAGGCGGACGTGGGTATGAACCTAGCTTGAAGCCACCAAATCATTGGACTCAAGGAGTTTGTCTTCACAAAAAGGTAAGAAGAAGTCACCTTAAAGGACACAACGAACGCTTTAGTACTATTGTTTGAAACTTTTTAAAAGGAAAGCTCTTCATGACTCCCTTTAACATAAAAAAGCCACGCTGCTTATGTCGTCACACAGTACAACTGTTGTGTGGCCTAGTACAGTTGCGAACAATTTCTAGTGAACAATTACTAAAGCCAAACACTATATACCATGAAACTGGAAGAAAGTTGGTACTAAGTAATTTTATCTTCGTATCAGACTTAACTAGAACCATTGCCAGCCACATGCAAATCCATAAAGTGATCGGCAGCTTGCCGCGATTGCATCAAAGGGGTTTTCAACTCAAGCAGAAATATCCCGTTTCTATTTTTATGAAGTTCAGTCCATAGTACGTCTCTCAGGAGAATGCTTTTGTGTCGCAAGTGTATTACAGTACTCAAATTTCTATGAAACTTTCCATCTAACTCGCAACGTAAATTCGCATTTTGAACTATTAAAATGAACCGGCAATAAAGGTTTACCGCAAGTTTGGTTACTCAAATCTTGACACCACTCAGATAATACTAACTTATTTCACTGGACAATTAACAAAATAGAGACTACAGCACAGGTAACATTCCTGTTGGTAGTGAGACGTATAAACAGATCAATGTTAAGATCAAATATTTAATTTTTAAGCATGGAAAATAAACAATGCGCATTCTTGAGTCCCTTTAGAGACTCGCGTAAAGTACAATACTTTAATGAAAGAGCCAAGTGCCTACATTTGTAAGGATCTATCTAACCCCTGTAGAACGTAAACTCAACCCTATGTTAATAACAAAGTCGTACTTTTTAAGTTTGAAGTTGTCAGTATAAGTACTTTCGGAAACAGAGTTCCCACGAGTAACGCAACTTATTAAGGCGCGTGTCACCAAAGGGAAATCAAAAAATCGTTCTTACTTGTGAAAAATAAATAATTACAAAGATTTCTTGAGAAACTATCGGCCCCAACAGTCGAAACAATCATCCTGCATATAAAAAGGCAAACAAGCTGACAAGATATGATTGTAATGTCGATATGTTTTGTTTGTGGAACGGAAATGAATTTATATGTAAATAAACGCAGCTGTGTAAATATGTCTTCTTATCGAACAGCTAATCGGATATCAACGTAAATATGTCTTCTTATCGGACAGCTAATCGGATATAAAATATGATAGCTCATATAAGTTTCGTCTGGAATTTGTAATTAATGTGATAATGTCATTTAAAACACTGAAAACAGCCTTTTAATTGCCTCTCTCAAACAAAGTAACACCCATTCAAAGACAACACATTTCAAATTAATAGGTTACTAATTAAAGTCGCCTTTTGGCATTTCAAAAACCAACAATTCAAGCGTTAAACATATTGTTTTGACAAAAGATTTAATCACTATTATCCTTAGGGTGTTTACTTTTAAATACAAAAACAAGTAATTGGCCATATCGTGCTAACCATGAACCGTGAAGAACACTACGCAAAGAGACTACAGAACGCTACTGTTTGTAATAGAGAACACTATAATGGGCCTTGCACACTAAGATGAATAGCGTATGAAAGAAACAATGCCTTTTTTCTTTTCAGTGCGTATG